GATTAAAGATGCTGTCCATAAAGATGCTGTTCACTACCTCCCAGCGCTCTCTCTCTCTCTCTCTCTTTCCTGAGACAAGTCTTACTTACTATGCACTCTGGCTGGCCTCAGACTCACTGAGATCCAGCTGGCCTCTGCCTCTGAAATGCAGGTACTTTAATCTTTGCCTAGCTAAAAGTGTTTTTTTTCAATGGTTTATTTTTAACTTTATTTTATGTGCATTTATGTGAAGGTGTCAGATCCCCTGGAACTAGATCTTCAGACAGTTGTGAGCTGCCATGTGAGTGCTGGGAATTGAACCCAGGTCCTCTGGAAGAGCAGTCAGCGCTCTTAACCATTGAGCCTTCTCTCCAGCCCTTTGTTTTTCTTTTTTCATTTATGTATATGTGTGTCTATATACACACACGTGTGTGGGTACTCAAGGGGGCCAGAATAGGGCATTGGCTCCCCTGGAACTGGAGTTACAGACAGTTGTGAGCTAAGCAAAGTGGGTGCTGGGAACTGAACCCCTGTCCTCTGCACCAGTAATTACTGAGCCATCTTTCTAGTTCCTAGAAGTAGTTCCTTCTTTTTTCTTTTCCTTTTTTACACAGAGAAACTCTGTCTGGAAGAAAAAAAACAAAAACAAGAAAAAAAAATAGAGTTTCTCTATATAACAGCCCTCGCTACCCTGGAACTAGCTCTTGTAGACCAGGCTGGCTTGGAACTCACAAAGCTCCACCTGCCTCTGCCTTCACAGTGCGGGGTTTAAAGGTGCGCACCACCGCTGCTCAGACTAGATTAAGAGGGTTGAAGCAGGAAGAGGTGGTGTTTGTGGTCTTTACTCTTAGGTTTGGCCTTCTTGGCATCCTTGGAGATTCCGGAGCCAGGTGGGTGACGTGATGTGTCCCTGCCTTTTTAACACTCACACCCAAGGATATTGGCAAGTTCTTACCTCACGAGAGTGACGGGGTGTCTAGATGACTCAGTGGGTAAACAAGGGTAAAGGTACTTTCTTTACAAACCTGAAGACCTAAGTTCCAGCCCTAAAGCCTGTGATAGAACTGACCTCCTTCACATCTGTGGCACACACATACCAACACTCTTGCTCTCTCTCTCTCTCTCTCTCTCTCACACACACACACACACACACACACACACACACGTTCATATACATATAAAGAGAAATATATCCACTTTATGAGTATTGTGATGTGATCTGAGGTAAGGGTATGCAGGTAATATGCATACCCAAAGGCCTTAATTATTTGTTGGTTATTTGCTTGTTTGTTTGTTTGTTTGTTTCGTTTGAGGGAAGGTCTCACTGTGTAGTCCTGGCTGACCTGGAATTTAATTAGTTGATTAAATGGGCATTGAATTCTGAGAGATCCACCTGCCTCTGACTCTGGAGTACCAGGATGAACTGCGTGCGCCACCAGGTTGGTTGATTTAGTATATGTATGTTTGTTCAGACAGGTTTTTCTCTGTGTAGCCCTGACTGCCCGGGAACTCTCTCTAGACAAGGCTGATATTAAACTCACAGAGATCCACCTGCTGGGATTGAAGGCATATGCCACCACCGCCCAGCCTTATACTTGTTTATTTTATCTTATTTATTTATATTAACTTTTAGTGATTGTTTCCTCCTTCCTCTTTCTTTTTTTCCTCTCTTTCCTCCTGGAATTGAATCCCAGGCATCATGTATCCTTGACAGATGCTGTACCACTGAGACATATCATGAGCCCATTTTGATTTTTGAAAGTTAAGCCAGGCATGTCAGTCGATGCCTGTGGTTCCCAGAATTTGGGAGGCTGAGAGGCAGGAAAACTTTGGGAGTTTGAAGCCGGCAAGAGCTACAAAACAAGACCCTGTTTCAAAAGGCCAAAAACAGTTAAAAAGGAAAAGTTAAAGCTAGGCGGTGGTGGCGTACACCTTTAGTCCCAGCACTAGGGAGGCAGAGGCAGGTGGAGCTCTGTGAGTTTGAGACCAGAGCAAATTCCAGGGAGTCAGGACAGGCCACTCGGGTTCGGGGCCAGCAGACATTACAGAAGAAGCAGCCTGAGCAAACAGGAGCATAAGGACCCCCTGGACTTTCTGCCCTGGTTGGCTGAGATGTGAGGGTCCCAGCCCTGTGCTCCCACAGCCTCATGCTCTGTTCTGCCTTCTCCGTGCCTCCCAGGACCTTCCTGAATCATGAGCCGTGATTTAAAAACAACAAAGGGACCTGTTTGCAAAGCCTACACCCATGTGTTCCCACGTCTTCCTGAGGGTCTTTCTCCCAGCCTTCAAGCATTAGCCTATAGTAAAATATCCATTTCAAACCCCAAATCTGCATAATAACAGTGGGGCTGAGAGCACAGAGAGAAGGAATTCTATTCCCGGTATTGGCTCCTAGCTCTAGTTCCAGATCTGAAACCCTCTCCTGGGTTTCCAGATCTGAAACCCTCTCCTGACTCCAAACACACGCAATATATACTCTTACACATATACATACATACACACATATGCATAAATTATTTTTTTTAATTTTATGTGCATTGGTATTTTGCCTGTGTGAGGGTGTTGGGTCCCTTAGAACTGGAGTTACAGACAGTTGTGAGCTGCCATGTGGGTGCTGGGAATCGAACCAAGGTCCTCTGGAAGAGCAGCCAATGCCCTTAACCACTGAGCCATCTCCCCAGCCGCAATTTAGAATTTTTTTTAAATGTATGTTCTCATTATATTCTTAGATTCCCTCCTCTGCATTCTTGGTGGCATAAAAATCAACATGTTAACTTGCTTAGCAAGTGCGGCATCTTGTGTGCCACACGAGAAAGAACACGGGGGCTGATGAGCCGAGTCAGCAGGCGAAGGAAACCTGAGTTCGATTTCTGGGCCCCCCCCGTCCTGAAGGAGCGCAGCACTCCCACAACTTGCCCCTGGCCTCCACACACAGACACACACCTCAGTGGAACCTTAAAGAGAGAACTCAAAATAAAGCTACTAAGAACTGGACAGGTTGTGGCAGCTCAGGTGTTTGCATGCTTACTTTGGTAGGGCTGGGGCCTGAAACCACAGCCTCGTGCCTGCTGGGCAAGCTCTGTACCCCTGGGCACACTAATGATTTTCCTCTGACTTCTCCAGCGCAGTTCTCCGGAGCACTTCCTCATTAAGAGTAGCTGAGAGCAGATCATCGGGTCCACGGTGCTGGAGAGCAAACAGTAGTAAGCCTTCAAGTGGAGCACAGGTGACCTGGACTCCTGTCTGGGACCCAGCAGAGCCGGTTAGAGCAGAGGGCCAGAGAATTTGCTTCTTAACCGGACTCAGCTGGTCTGAGCTCTGGCTTCCAATTTGCATACCAAAGAAGTTAGCCACGTCCTGTTGTTAAAGTCTTTCGGAAACTACTTGATTGAAGTATTAAAAAATGATCTAACCATCCTGCTGGGGTTGTGCTCATATGATCCCAGCCTTGTGGGAGGTGGAAGAGGCAGAGGCAGGAGGATTCCTGCAATGTCAAAGCCAGTCGGTTGAGTTCCAAGCTGCCTGAGGGCACATAGTAAAGGACCTTGTCTTAAATAAAAAAACTGGCAGTAGGGGATTGTGGTTTTAATCCCAGCACTCGGGAGACAGAAGCAGGCAGATCTCTTAAGAGTTTGAAGGCAGCCTACTCTACAGAGTGAGTTCCAGGACAGCCATTGCTAAACAGAGAAACCTTCTCTCGAGAAACCAAAAAGAAAGAACAAAGCAAAACAAGAGTTGTGGGAATTTGAGGAAGCTCTCTTGAGTTTGAGGCCAGCCTGCTCTATACAGTGAGTTCCTGGTCTATCCTATCACAGAAAAAAACAAAAGCAAACAAAAGTTTTTGATCATCCTGGGCCACCTACTGAGAGACCTGTGTCAAGTCTCTTTTTGGGGGTGGGGAGGGGAGGAGTTTCAAGACAGGGTTTCACTGTAGTTTTAGAGCCTGTCCTGGGAATTAAAGGCATGTGCCACCACCGCCCGGCTCATTGTTGTGTCTCTTTTTTAAAAAGTTGCAGTGGGGTGTTGTTACATGGCTTTAATCTTAGCACTTTGGAGGCAGAGGCAGGAAGATCTCTGGAGCTTGAGGCCAGCCTGGGATGCATACTGAGTTTCTGGACAGCCAAGACTACACAGAGTCTTGAACAACAAAAGAGTTATATATTATTAAATGTGTCATCAATGAAACAATTCACAATTACATGGGCTTAAATTCCATGCTTAAATACATATACTGCCATAAACTGTCAGCTTACTTAAGGGTGTGTAACATATACACTTATTCCCCAGCATTGCAAGGCAAACAGCTCCGAAGATGAGACAGGCAAAGAAAACGTTCTATCAGCTTGATTAGGACTAACTGGCAGCTAGTGGAGAATGGCGTGCTCATTCTAGAATGTTTAAATCAGTTCACCCATCACTAGCCACCTCCGAGAATGTAATAAACAAAACAAAATCCCTAATATCAGGAAACCTAGAGAGACTCTAGATAAAATTGCCAGTCCTTTTTTTTTTTTTTTTTTTTTTAGGATTTTTTGAGACAGGGTTTCTCTGTAGATTTGGTGAACTCACAGAGATTCACCTGCCTCTGCCTCCGCGAGTGCTGGAATTTGGGATTAAAAAGGTGTGGGCTACTACCGCCAAGCCTTTTTTTTTTTTTTTTTTTTTGGGTGGGGCCTGGGTTAGAAATCACAGAGGACCCCCTGCCCCAGCCTCCCTAGAACAGGAATTAAAGGTGGAGGCCGCCACACTCAGCCAAAATTTCTTCGGTTTTTGTACAGGGTTAGTGTTTAGGGCAGATCAGAGGAAGAGCAGCTGTCTCCGACAGCATTCGCCTTTAACTCAAGTGGATCCTTTAATCACTGCCTCATTAACATTAAAATAGCCTGGAGGGTTGGTTTACTTGAGGTTTAAAAGGAACCCACACCTCACCACCTGCCTCTGCTAGTGAGTCTGGGTCTCTGTCTTTTCCAAAACTAACCAGTTTTATTTGGAGCTAACTTTCAAGGCTTCTGCTCTTTGCCATGGAGGAGCCATCAGGGGTGCTCGAGCCATCAGGGGTGCTCGAGCCATCAGAGGTGCTCGAGCCATCAGAGGTGCTCGAGCCATCAAAGGAGGAGGAGGTTAACCCACTCATGGACTCAGAATCTTCTCAGACAGATGAACAAGACTCCTCGGATGATTCAGGTAAGCCAGCCTTTTGGTCCCGGGATTTGGGGAATTCAGTAGGCGGCCACCCTTTCTCATCTTGCCAAGGTAGGCAGGCAGCTAGTACCTCGGACCCCAGCACTTGTGGGGGATCAGGAGTTGTAGGCAAGTTAGTAGCCAGTATGGGTTCCTGGACCCTGCCGTGGGAGACGCGGGGTCTCTGTGTAGCTCTGGCTGGCCTAGAACTCCCGATGTAAACCAAAGGTGTGGGCAGGTTTCCGTGTTTTCTTTTGTTGCCGCTTTGTTTCAGCACAGAAATCCTGTTTAGTTGAGACAGGGTCTCACTATTGTAGCCCTGGGTATATACGCTGGAACCCTTTCAATTGTTTAATTTTTACTCTTAAGTGCATTGAGGTTTTTGTTTGTATGTATGTCTTGTTGGAGGGTGTTGGATCTCCTGCACTGGGGTAACAACTGTCAGCTGCCATGTGGGCGTAGAGAATTGAACCTGGGCCCTCTGATAGCGCAGCCAGTGTTCCGACCTGCCGAGCCACCTCCAGCCCCGTCCTGGATCTTTTTTGTAGCCTAACCTGAACTCAAACTGGATCCTCGTGCACCGGTCTCGGCCTCTAGAGTGCGCTAGAATTAAACACGGCTCGGCTGCAGGCTTATATTTTAAACACAGGAATCTTTTGGTTTTCGAGGCTGGGTTTCTCTTATCGTTGGGTGTCCCAGAACTAAGACTGTAGACCAGACCGGCCTCAACTCAGACCCACCTGCCTCTGCCTCCTGCGCGCTGGGAATAAAGGCGTGTGCTACAGCCCAGCTACACAGGAATCTAAAATTTTACTTGAACGTGAACTTTTTCTTATTCTCAACCATTTTCTGGGAGCGGATTTTCAGCTAAATTTCCATTTCTGGTGAATGGCTTAACGGGAAATAGCCCAGGATGGCTGAGCCATCTATTCCGTGCTGGTAGTGGTGGGAGGGGGCGGCTTGCTGCAGGTGTTTCCCCTGCGCCTGACGGCCTCCAGGTTTGCCCTCAGGCCCTCGGGCTATGGGTGTGGTTCCGGAGGAGCCCTGCCTTCCTCATCCAAGCTGAGAGGAAAAGAAATGTTTGCCCTAGATGTGCCTGCCCTACCTGACAGTTAACATGTGGCCTCCTGTGGTACCTGTATGCTTAGGGGCTTTATTTTTGAGACTGTTGCCCCTACTGGTCTAAAACTCCCTGTGTTTAGGCCAGGTTATAACCCAATTCTGTCAATAATCCTGTCTGTCCCAAACCTGGAAATGAGGTGAGCTACCATGGCGTGATGCAACTTTGATGACACTTGTGGCGAGTCTGTCCACTGGGTGTGAATGATTTGGATGGCAAGAACAGGATTGGCTTGCCACAATCCCCTTTCCACAGAGTCCGACAGGAAGCATGGGACAACTCAAACTAGATTTAGGTGGAAAGTTAGCCAGTTCTTGGAAGAGTTCCAGAGCCCACCTGGGCAAGCCTGGAGGGCAAAGCCACATTTCCAGAATGCTTATGGTGCAGATTCTCTGGAAGTATGAGTTCCTGCTCTTGAACACAGGTCTCAGAACTTCTGGACCTAGAAACGGACAGTTGGGCCCCTGGAACAATGTCGTATATGGAACAGCACGTGGTAAGAAGTCAGTGATCACTCCACAAGCGCTAGGGTATCTATCTGCCTGGGGTTTATGACCGCATGCCCTGCGTACAGAAATACTTTTGGTTGGCGTCCTGAGCAGAGTGGGTGTCTGCCCGGGGTATTGTTTTGGAGCGTGGTGCACCTCCCACTAACGGCTCTTCACCTTCTGCTGTAGGAATCTCCCAGCCAGAAAACTTAGTAAAGGACATGAGAAAGCTAACCATCAACCCCAGGGCCAAGAAGCCTCCTGCTTCCCTGGCAAGACTTAAACTTCATCGGCGCAGCCGCCGCATCCGCATCCTCCGCCGCGCAATAAAGATGAGAAAGGTCGAGAACAAAAGTGAGAAAATCTTGAGGGAGGTCCAAAGTGCCTTTCCTAAGAGAAGAGTCCGCACACTACTGTCTGTGCAGAACGATCCTGACGCGAAGAGGAAGCGATTAATGCGGGTGAGTTGCATTTGTGGACAAGGCTATTTATTAGATAGCAAGGGCAACCTCTGGGGAGTGACACCTGAATTCCCACATCAGTCTAGACTTACAGGCAAGGTAGTGACTACACAGTCTCAAGCCAGCTTGAGCTATCTGCAATTAACTAGTGGTAAACAACAGTCTCTGGAGTCTCACTGTAGCCCAGGCTGGCCTCCAATTCAATCTACAAACTTGCCCCTCATTCTCCTCCCGTGCTAGGATTACAGGGTTTTGGGCTACCATATGCCATAGCTGGCCTGTTAATGGTATGGACCCAAAACTTGGGGTGGCCCTCCTGTTCGTTTAACAGTGCTATCAGGAGCATGGGCTCACAGAGTAGGTGTTTTAATTTTGTTTTGATATAATTAAGTAATTTTGGTTTTGTTTTTCCCATGAAGATTGAAAAGAAACTAAAAAGCTGCAATGATGGAAACGTGGTAACTATCTTTTTCTTGCTAATACATGTTGGTGTGTTGGATGCCTGTTTTACTGTTTGATTTGGACAAGGGGTGTGGGGGGATGATAAAGGATCTTTGTTTCTTTGGGTTGCAATATCCTGATTAACCTATTGCATTATTTCTTCCAGTTTAGCAAAGCTCAACCATTCAAATGCCTCTGCACTTTCTGCCTGTACCATGGCTGGGATCCTTCTGAGAATGCAAAAATTGGAAAAAAATAGGACCATCAATTCAGGGCTAAGAAGTTGTGTACTGGCAGCCGATGTAAAAGGGTTTGTTTTTGTTTAAGATTTAACTGCAGTCGTGAGTTGTGTGATAGTTTTATTCTTTTTCCTGATGCTGGGTGACCTTTCCACACTTGTTACCATTACATGATATATAGAATGTGTTAAGTTTGAATGCATGTGAATGAATTTAATTTGTCCTAAAGAATCAAGAGTGAGTCTCGGCTTACTCAAGTCCAAGGTTAAGTTCGATAGCTTTTGAAAGAACGTCAATAGAATTTGGGGGTGTTGTGGTTTAGAAGGTAATAATTGGAATAGATCTTTGGGTTTTCTCGTTCGCGGAAATTTGAAATAAAGGCAATCTTGTTATCTTAATTTTTAGTAATAAGTACAGAGAACGAATTAAAGTAGATCATTAGAGCTTACATTGGAGTTCATTTTTCTTGTATTTCTTTACTAGATGTATGTGTGTGGGCAAGTACGTTCCACAGTGCGTGGAGAGGTCAGAATAACTGGTCAGCATTTTTCATACTTGGTATTGATCTCAGGTTGTCAGGCCACCAGGCTTGGCGGCAAGCACCTATTCCCACTGAGCTGTCTAGATGGCCCCTTGCTTCACGTGTGTGTGTGTTTGCTTCATGGTGACAATTGTCAGGGGTCAGTTTTCTCCTTGTGAATTCTGGGGATCAAAAGTGTGTTACAGGAATATTAGCAACCTGATAGGTTTGAGACCTGTCTTAATATACAGCCCTGGCTGGCACTCATTCTGAAGACAGTGAAGGGAAGGTAGGGAGCAAATTGAATAGAAATCTTTGCTGTACTTCTAGGGTCTTGGAGATTAGAGGTGTACTAAACCCTATTTACTGAGATAGGGTCTCCAAGAGAACTAATTTGTCTTCAGCTACTGGTCTTGCCTCTAGCTCTGAGTTTTCTAACACAGTTATGTGTCAGATCTGCCAAAAAAAAAAAAAAAGGCTTATCTTGTTTTTCAAGACGAGGGTTTCTCTGTGTAGCCCTGGATGTCCATCCTGGAACTTTCTCTGTAGACCAGGCTGGCCTTGAACTCACAGATCATCTGCCTCTGCTGAGATTAAAGGCGTACACCACCACTTCCTGGCTTACCAATAAATTCTCAGGTACAAGGATGTGGCATTGTATTGTGACTGTCACTAGAAGACAACCAGAGCACAGTATTTTCATGCTTTGGCTTCCTGCAAAAATGTCAAGAAAGGAATTAGGAAAATGGCCCCAGGAACTTGCTAGGATATATATATCTATATGTCATATATATAGATATATATGATATATGTCATATATATAGATATATATGGTATATATGATATCATATATATCATATATATGATATGATATATGATTTCTCTTGAAAGATCTAGGTGAGTCTTATAGCTAAGGCCAGCTAGGTATCTTGATTATAAACTCCTCGAGAGGAGTAGCTCTGTCTTCAGGTTGAGGCCACCACTTCAGATGTTTCAAGCCCCGGGTCGTGACCTAAGCATCCAACCGAGCAGCTGTGCATCACAGTCTCATAACCCCCTCTTCTGAAGGAGAGTTGATCGCTCGAGCAGCTTATAGCTCTTGAGCAAATCCTGAAGGATGTTGCAAAATTTGTAGGTGAGCAGCCAGGAGGAAAAGACACAGGGGCAAAAGTACAGGAGAAAGCTGCACTACCCCTGGGTAGTGTTCTGCAACTTCAGCCATGCGGAGGGTAGAGGACATCCTGCTGGAGGTGTCTCCCTGACCCTGTCAGCGTAGCAGGCTTGGTTAGCTCAACCCCTTAGCCCACCAGCCAGCTCAGCCCAGAACTTACTCCTATTGAAGAGGAGCATTACAAAGAGGATGGATTTCATCCCTGACCATTACTTGATAACCCTGGAAATGTTTTTAACTTAAGTCTGCGTTTCCTAAATTGACCTTGAACTTCTGATCTTCCCCTGTCTCTAATTGGGATTACAGTTCCAGAAACTGTAGAGACAGTCACTGGGAAGATCGCTCTGTTTAACAACGTCTTACTGCTGTGCCTAAATGAGCTATAATAGGTTTATATGTACGCCTAGGAGTGAACAGTGTAAGAGTCAGTGTTTCCGTGCATCCACTGGGGTCTGGACTATCCCCTGAGGTAGGGAAGCTACTGCACACAAGAAATGGCGAGTCAGAGCCCAATACAGATAACAGTATCACAGGAGGGCGTGTAAAAGAGAGCATAGGGTCTTGAGACCCCATGTACACAGACTCAGTTATGTGTGTGTGTTGTCAACCAGGCTCGCAAAAGTGGTTCAGGCAGACATGCAGGCAGAACACTGTACACAAAGGCCATGCTGATGACAGACAGCTAAGGAGCAGTTTCTACCTGTTGGTATCCAGAAAGGAGGGCAGAATGATTGGCACTAGTTACAGACCCAGAGGATTGGTTCCAACAAGCGACCAAAGCTCCACATGGAAGAACATGTTTTAGGAATACTGACATTGCCAGCTTCATCGGTAGGTGTTACTCTACCCAGAATAGTTCAAGTCACCATGGTCACCATGCGTAGGAAAGTGGAGCCGTCGTGGATACCAAAGCCATCTCAAACATTTTTTTTTCCTATATGAATTTAAGTTCCTGGCTAGTAAAAGCAACCGTCTTGTTTTGGCTACACATTAAATTTATAGATGGAATTTAATATTTGTGAGCAAGGTGCTTTCCATATTGCCTTGAAGGCTACAGGTAAGAACTGTCCATTAATGATTGTTAGCTTCTATTTGCATCATTATTAACAAACATATACCACTTAACTCTAAAGAGTTAGCTGGAGGTGGCCACTGTGATGCTCTGAGCTCATGGCTTTCACGTCTGAGTAAGCAACATTACTATGGACCTACAGTTCTTTGAGTTTTGAGATTACTCTGAGAGCACTCCAGGTTTCCAGCTCTTAGGAACTGTCATTTATACTTGGGTGGGGGGGGGGAACTTTTTTTAATGAAGCCATCTCTGAGTTATTTCTGATGCTAAAGTAACCTTTTTTTCAACAGTTTATTTATTTATTTATTTGTTTATTGTGTGTACAATATTCTGTCTGCCTGTATGCCTGCAGATCTGCCTGTATGCCTGCAGACCAGAAGAGGTCACCAGACCTCATTACAGATGGTTGTGAGCCACTATGTGGCTGCCGAGAATTGAACTCAGAACCTTTGGAAGAGCAGACAACGCTCTTAACCGCTGAACCATCTCTCCAGCCCTAGAGTAACCTTTCCCGTACTCCTGGGAGTAACTCCAATAAAACTCATTGATTTACCGAGTTGGACTTCCCATCCATCTGCAGTTCCTTAACTGCGGTGAATAGACATTTATTCATATCATTTTAGGAATGTCTCAGAACACTGTAGCCCTGGCTTGCCTGGAACTCACTCTGTAGACTAGGCTGACCTCAAACAGAATCTCCTTGCCTGTCTCCCAAGTGCTGGGATTAAATGTGTGCCACAGGGGGCTGGAGAGGTGCTGAGTGGTGGCTACTTATTTCTCTCCATAGGACCCAGATTTGATCCCTAGCACCTGGGTGTGTGGCACGCACATGCTTTTAATCCCAGCACTTGAGAGGCAGAGGCGGGCGGATCTCTAGTCAGTCTAGTCTAGTGTGTTTCAGGACAGCCAGGGCTATGTAGAGAGAATCTGTCTCAATTTTTTTTTTTTTGATAAACTCGTTCCAAGTTATGTTTGACCTGGAAGTCAGCTGAGCCAAGTCATTGTTGGCAGGTTATTTTCTTCGTGAACTCCCTTAATTGTGTTGAAGTATTTCCATTTCATTTTTTAACAGGCTATATAATGCAAGAACTGTAGGATTCTAATTTTCAATACTCAACCATTTTTTTGTTTTTGAGACTAGGTGGGTCCCTAGCTCTGTCTGGCCTGGAACTCACTATGTAGACTCGGCTGGCTTTGAAGTCACAGAGATCCAGCTGCCTCTACCTCCCAAGTGCTGGTACCAAAGGTGTGTGCCAGTGTGCCACCATCTCTCCACCCCAAACTCACATGACTTTTTGTTCAGTTGGTTTTTTTGTTTGTTTTTGTTTTATAATTTATTTATTCATTATGTATACGGTATTGTGTCTGCTTATATGCCTACAGCCAGGAAGAGGGCACCAGATCTCATTACAGATGGTTGTGAGCCACCATGTGTTTGCTGGGAATTGAACTCGGGACCTCTGGAAGAGCAGCCACTGCCCTTAACCTCTGAGCCATCTCTCCAGCCCTTGTTTGATTTTCTGAGATAGGGTTTCTCTGTAACAATTCTGGCAGTCCTGGATCTCACTCTGTAGACCAGAATGGCCTCAGACTCAGAGATTCACCTGCCTCTGCCTCTCAAGTGCTGGGATTAAAGGTGTGCGCCACCACCTCCCGGCTTTTTTTTTTTTCTCATCACTTTTTAACCTCTAAAGTATTTTAGCTTCTAAAGCTGCAAGACTAGGCCAGTGAATTTCTGGGTACCTTCTACTTAAAGGCATGGATTGTGGCCATTGTCCATTTTCTACAAGATGTTCTAGGGGGTTTACTAGAAAGGAAGCTGAGGAACTAATCTGAAGAGAGTGATGTTGTGATTTTAGTTTGATCCCTATCATCCAGATGGGAAGAAGGGACCTGACTACTTCAGGTTATCCTCTGCCCTCCATATGTGTGTAACACACACACAAACACATGCACACACAATGAAAGGAAAGTTTTGTTAGAGTTGGAACATCATGCCATAGGGGCAGCGCCACGGCATCCTGAGAGGGAGAAAGGAAGCCTTCAGTTTCGAATTTCTCCTACAGGTGTGTGTGTGTGTGTGTGTGTGTGTGTGTGTGTGTAAGGTCAGAAGACAATTTGAGGAGTTGGTTTCTCTTGGATCTCTTTCACGGAACTTTTTCCAATGGTTAAATGTGGGTAATGACCATAGGCATTTCTTTGGCTGTAGTTTTCCCCCAGATACTGGCTTGCTGACACCTATGGGTTTTGCTGTTGT